CCGAGACGCTCCACTGCTTGGTGAAGATGTGGGCCTACAGGCGCGTCTGGATGCTGGTGTTCTCCATGCTCTTGCTGCTGTGCTACCTGCGTCCCGGTGAGTGTCTGCCCCGGGCCGCCGGGCCAGGGCCCCCTCAGGGGGGCGGGGGGAGAGGGGTGAGGGCCGGGAGGGCGCCCGACTGCGCGGCCTCTGTGCTCGCCAACTTTCCCGCTTTTCTGCCCAGGGCCGTTTGTTCCTGCCTCAGTGTGAAGTCCGAGGACTGACTCCTCCCTCCTCTCCCTTCAGAAGCGCCTTCCCGCCCTTCCCTCCGTTCTCCTCAGAAAGCACCTCCTTCCCTCCCCACTTTACCTCACAAAACCCTACCCCCGCCCTCGTCTTTTTAAAAACAATGGAGGTGGAATTCTTGGAACTTAAAATTGACTATGTTGTGAACAATTCAGTGGCACTTACTGTGTTTCAGCGTTGAGCAGCCACCACCTCTATCTAGTCACCCCGAATCCAAACCCACTCCCACTAAGAGTGTAGTTACTCCTCCCTTCGCAGCCCCCGGCGCCTGCGGGTCTCCTTCCTGTCTCTCTGGGTTTCTTCTGGAGATTTTCTGTAATTGGGAACGTGCAGTATTTGTCCTGTGTGTGGGGTTTATTCTACTTGGCATAATGGTTTCGGGATGTAGGCATGCTGTAGCTTGTGCATTGGTACTTCATTCCTTTTTATGGCCGAATCCGGTTCTGTGGTATGAATACGCTGCATTTTGTTTATCCATGTATCAGTTGATGGGCATTTGGGTTGTTTCTTGGTTGTTGACTATTATAAGTACTATTAATGTGAATATTCATATAGGAGTTTTTGTGTCGATGTATTTTCAGTTTTCTTGGGCATATCCGTAGGAGTGGAATTGCTGGGTGGTATGGGAACCCCATGTTGAACTGTTTGAGGAAGTCCCAAGCTTTTCCCAAGAGGCGGAACCATTTTATATTCCTACTGACAATGTATGAGAATCGCCGTTTCGTGGACATTTGTTATTGCCCCTCCCCCTTTTGGTGATCGCCATCTTAGTGCGTGTGGAGTGGTATCTTATGGTGGTTTTCATGAGTATTTCCGTAATGATTAATGATGTTGAGTATCTTTTATGTGCTTTTGGGTATTTGTATATCTTCTTTGCAGAAATGTCTATTCAAATCAAAATAATTTGACTATTTTAAACTGAATTGTTTATGGTTTTGTTATTGAGTTATAGGTCTTCTCTGAAAGGTCTTCCTCCCCTAGCCTCCTTTCACAAACTACTAAATCCTCTCACCAACTCGCACAAATGCCCTTCTGTCCCTCCTGAGTGGCTTCCCTCCCCCGTTTCTCCTAATGCCTTTTCATTACCTCCCGTTGCATAGGACTCATCTCCCTCACTTCACCACCCAGAGTGCTAACCTCCATCACCTCCTCGCTTAAAGCTCTGCCACCTCTAACCTCATCTTACTTACCTCACCTCTCAAATTCCTTTCTCCATCACCTCCCTTCACAAAGACCTTTCCTTGCTCACTTCCTCTCACAAAGGCCTTCCCTTCTTTCATACTTGCCTTCCCTACCTCCTCTATCCTCACAATGATTTCCCTTCTTCACCTCCTCCCTGAAAGGCCTCCTTCTCTCAAGTCCTGACACAAATTAGGAACTTTCCTCTCCTCACATAGTGCTGAACTCCCTCACCTCCTTCCTCAAAGAACTTTCCTCCTTTACTTATGCTCACAAAGACCTTCCCTCTGTCACTTCACTTCACAAATCCCTTTCCTCTGTCACTCCCACAGCTGCCTTCCCTTCCTCACCACACTCCTAAAGTTCTTCTTAACTGTCAGTCAAGGTCCTTTCATTCTTCACCTCCCCACAGTGACTTTCCTTTGATTACCTTACAGGCCTTCTCTCCTCTCACTCAAAAGCCTTTCTTCCTTGTTTCACAAAGCCCTTTACTCCTCTCACTCAAGGTCTTCACTTCCTCACCTCCCTTTTAAAATGCCTTCGGTCTCTTATCTCACATTGTCCTTCTTTCTCTAACCTACCTTCACAAAGGCCTTCCCTTCATCAGTCAAACTCCTTCCCTTCCCTTCTTATGTACCCTCCTCGGGGCCTTTGCTCACCCTCCTCTCAGAGGCCTGCTTCAGCCCTACAGAGGCCCCCCCCATTCTCTCCACTCACAGGTTCCTCCTCCCTCCCCGCCCAAAGGTACTCTCTCCTTCCTCAGAAGTCTCCTCCTTCTGCTCAGTGGTCTTGCTGCCTCACTTTCCTCACTCGACCTCTTTCCCACCTCCTCCTCCAAATCTTTCTTACCCTTGACTCAGATATTTTCCATTCCCCACAGCCTTCTCTCCTTAGCTCCAAGAGAGCCTTCTCAAAAGGGCCTTCTCTACCTTAACCGCCCTTGGCTTGCCCCCTCCCCGCCCCCTCCCAATGGTATTCTATCTCCTTGTCTGCATAAAGGCCTTGGGTTTCCCATAGTATTCCTCCTCACCTCAAGCTCCAGCTTCAAGCCTAAAGACCTTCCACCATCCCCACTTCTAATCTCAATGACTTCTCTCTCCCTGCCCTCCCCAGAGGCCTTCCATGTCCTCAACCAATGTCCTCCCACAAAGAAGGAGGCAAAAATTGGACAGAGGCATTGTAAGTAAAAGGAACAGGGACCACTATATACTATGTCACAATTGCTTGGGGATGAAATTGGACATTAAATAAAGTATATGTTATGCATTCTTTTATCAACTGTTTTAAATAAGTTAAATATGATTCCTGCCTTTTGAAAAATATTTTAATATGCTTTTTAAATGATTGTTTATGAATCATTACTTCAAATTATTTATTTTTTCATATTATTCATCTAAAATACAAAGCATTTCTGCCTTACTTCTATTGTATTTGTAAATGTTAGTTACAAATACAATTGAGAACCTTGCAAACTGAGTGCTTTTTTCATTCTCTGAAAAAGTCAGTTAAAAAGCAAAACTATAAACTGTACATTATTTTTGTTAGTCCCCGAGTTCATTTTCTACTTTTATTTTGAGTAGAACTTTTACAAAAAGAGAATACTGTTATTCAGTGTGATTTCTTTATTTCCATGAGGACTTTTTCCAATATAGGTTTAACATCTTTTCTCCTAAAATAATCCATGATTCATTCTTTATGTTGTCAGATTTCCCAGATTCCCAGGAGGTAATATGTGACTGGATGGATTAAATATAATTTTGCATTTAAAATGATTTAACTTAATTTATGTAAATAAATGCATTGTGTTATGGGTTGAATTGTGTCCCCTCACAATAAAGAAATGTTGGACTTTTAACCCCCAGTACCCTAGTACCTCAGAATGTGACCTTATTTGGAGATAAGGTCTTTATAGAGGTAATCAAGTTAAAGTGAGGTGGGCCCTAATGTGATATGAATGGTGTCCTTATAAAAAGAGGAAATCTAGACACAGAGATAGACATTCATAGTGGAAAGACTATATGATAGACACAGGGAGAAGACAGCCATCTACAAACCAAGGAGAGAGAGGCTTTCTGTCACAGTCCTCAGAAGGAACCAACCCTGTTGACATCTTGATTTTGGACTTCTAGCCTCCAGAACTGTTGAAACAATGAATTTCTTTTGTTTTTAGGCACCAGTTTATGGTGCTTTCTTGTAGTGACCCTAGCAAACTAATATACACTGAGGGGTAAAATAATTTGGTCATGGGCCTGGAGTATTATGGTGAAAGCAGGGCACATGGTCTGGGAGCTAAAATTTCCCTTCTTCTTCCTAGACAGACCCTTCTGAGTTCTCTTAGACTTAATGCCACCAAGGAGAATTGAGGTTGAGGGATCTGAAGTAACTCTGGGATAGCTCCAGGTTATATTGTCATTTGGATGTTGCTTTTCAGGTTATTTTTTATGCATAAGGCATATAGACTAGTGCCTGCAGGATGAAGAGACTAGCAGATTGGGGCTGGGAATTCAATTCCATCCCTTCCACCAATTCTTTGTAACCTATTGGGTCAGTCCTTATTGCATATCCTTTTTGGGGAGATTTAAAAATGAGAGAGAGAAATAAAGATTGACTAATAGATGATATTTTCAGAATGCTTTAGCTCCATAGACAAAAACTGTGCGATTAGTTTCTATATTATTATATTAGAATACTTCACTTATCAGTTATTCTGGGGAGTGTATGAGGCAGTGCATCTAGATGGACAGTCTGGTTGACTGCCTTGTACCACACCAAGAACCAAACTTGGTCTTGCTTTAACCATTTGGGCATGTGGTGTAGTTGGAGGACCCCTGAGTTAGGAGACTTAAGTTGTCATGATTCTGTCACTGACTTGCTGCTTGACCTTTGATGAATCCTCTTGCCTCTTTAGGCTTTGGTTATCTTGTTGAAAAATTGAGGCGATGTCCCTAGAAAGGTGTTTCTCCTGCCTCAGTCATTTGTATGACACCTTCACAACTACTGGTTATCTTAATGCTACCTGTTATTCATATTTTTCTTTAAAATTGCCTCACTTTTTTATATAAATGTATTTATTTTAAAAGGAAACTGTAGCATGATTATAAATGGAAAACTGGTCATACTTGCTATTAAGAGAATTATTTATAAAAATAAATATTCTGAAAACAACATACTATTCAATTTAAAATGATAAATAATAACAAGAAATGGTGAAAGACATGTGACAAAATATTTACCCTTATTATGTTGTGCTCAGTGCTTTGTATATGATGTCATTTAATACTTAAAAATTCTTAAAAATAAATATTATCCCCATTTTGTAGATGAATAACTGAGGCAAAGATAAGTTTACGATTTGCCCAAGTTCTCCAACTAGTATGTGGCAGAGCCAGGATGCAAATTCCGGGCTATTTGGGGCCAAGGCCCAGAAAAGACTGCAGCATAGGTAGACCCTCAACTTACTGAAGTTGCAGCAGAATCCTCTTCAAGCTGATACAATTAGCTATCACTGTTCACATTCTGTCTCTTCATCCTTTAGTCTAGCTCCTTATCTGAGAGACCTCGCTGCAGAGCAGAGCTAGCAACATAATTTGCAAAATAAAAATGTGTGGTCCCTTGTTCAAAGTTTATTATGA